GAAAGCCAGACACAGCCATTTCTGTCTGCCCTCCTGACCCTGACCACCCCTGACAGAGCTGCCTGCCTGAGTCCCCGACTTACTGGCTGCCTTCTAGGCTGTGCCAGGTGGCCTGTCCACGGATGTGCCTGCAGCAGCTGTCACAGAGGCATGCAAATTCTCTGCTGAAACCCCATGCGCTTCCCAGGGCCTCTCTGGGCTGTGCCTGGCCTTACTGCTTGGCAAGGCCATGAAGATGCTCCCAGGGATGTGCTGCTCATCAAAGAGCCTCCTTCTTCCCCCACCTCAGCCTACCTTGTTCCTTCCTCACTGGGTTCACACCGCTCTGCACACACAGAATTTTAGTTTGGGGGCTCTCCCATCTATTCTGGAATAATGTTCAAGATGATGCATTGCAATGCAGAATGCAATATTCTGTATTCATTTTTAAGACTCTGGCTGGGAGAACATAGTTTATTTTTAAACACTTTGAAATCCACTGTCCTCAAGTCAAGGCAAGCATTTATGGAGCATATTGGGCATGCCAGGTTCTGTGCTCAGGGCTGAGGATGATGTGTTGGTGAATAAATACAGTTGACCCTTGAACAACATGGGGGTCAGAGACATCTGCCCACATCCCACACCCCTACATAGTTGAAAATCCTGTGTATAACTTTGACTCCCCCCAAAAGTAAACATAGTGATCTCTTGGTATCGGTGGGGGATTGGTTTCAGGATCTCTGCAAACCCCCAAATCCTCCAAAGCGCAAGTCCCTTAGAGTCAGCCCTCGGTATCTTCAGGTTCCAATTCCATGGATTTAACCAACTGACACACAGAAACTGAGGGTAGAAAAAAAAATCCACATGAAGTGGATGGGCAGTTCAAAATATATAGGTCAAAGGGTCAGCCAGCTGTCCAACCTGTGTGGGGGGGAGGCAGACTAATGAGCAGGTTATAGGGAAGCAACCTGAAGGGATCCCAAATTCTGCCAAAGGGAGGAGTCAGGAGACCTCCTAGAGAAGATGACCCCTGAGCCAAGTCTTAAAAGAAGCATAGCAAGTGGGAGGAAGAGGAAGAGGGGATTAGGAGGAGCATCGTGTGTGCAGGACAGGACAGAGAGGACTGTAACAGAGAACCCTCAGAGCACTGCAGGGAATTGCCAGGGGAGCCCCATGGACTCCCCTGGGGAAGGGCTTGGGGAAGCAAATTAGGAAATTAATTTTCTCTTGAGGCTGGTGCTGGATGCAGAAATGAGGGACAAGGAGTGGATGGTGCTGGTTTCTGGGAGAGGAAATGGTCCAAAACATCCCCACCAAGACACGCCTTCCCCTTTTGTGGCATTCTCACCCAAAAGCTGCTCAGAATGATACCCATTGGGTGGTTTGGACATTTGATGGCATTTTGAACAGGCTATCTGCTCCCACATCTGTGACAGCCTCTTTCAGATGTTGTTTCCTGCTCAGAGGCCCCACATACTCACCAGCCTCCATGGTGGCCTCGGCAGCCATGACTGTAGCAGGGAAGGCTGCGGCTGTGGGCTGGCTGGCCTGGGGATGCTGCCGAGCTGGCTCTGTCAGCTTCTTCCCACTAGGTTCAGAATGTGGCCTGAGAGAGTGGGTAGACCCAGGGTGGCCAGATGGCCTTCTATCCCCTTGGATGCAGAGAAGCTGGCCTGCTGAGAATCCTTGCTAGTGTGCAGTGGGGAGAGACCCAGAGAAACCATCTGGGACTGAGCTCTGGGCACTGGGCACTGAGACCTGGGCATTTGGCTTTCCCATTCTGGCCTCTGAGTACTCCATTTCCTATGCTTGGGCTCCTCAAATGCCCCATAATTCTACAAAAACGTACAAATCCTTCTGTACCTGAGTGAGTTTTTGACTTTTGCCATCAAAAGACTGCTGACTAGGACACCAGCCTCGCTCTAATCTCTGGGATCTGATAAGTGGATCTTTGTCCCCTCAGGTTGGTTTATGACCCATTTCCAGGACACAGCAGGGACACCTGAGGCCAGCAAGAAGAACCAGCGCTCTCCCCTGCTGTTTTCTTGAGAACTGCTGGGCTTCTTCCTGTCCCTGCAGGGTGGCACACAGGCAGCCAGGAACCTGGCATCCTGGGGCCCAGCTGCTCTGTGAAGGGCAGCATCCCTCCCTTCGCCTAGGCCTCCACCTCCATACCCTCTCTCCACCTCAGGGCTGTGGGATTTGGGGACCATCAGACTTCTGGGAGTGTGTGGGTCAGGGGTGGGAAAGTGGCCCAGGCAAGTGTTCCCAAGGTAATCAGGGACAGCTTAGCCCAGGTCAACCAAACAATTTCCAGGAGAGAGAGAGGCCCCAGGAGACAGGATGTGCAGAAAGGTGTTAATAAACTCCAGGAGAGGCAGGACAGCACCAGCCTTGAACCAGCTTCCTCACTCCAGAAGCCCACGGTCCTGCTGCTTGCTGGCCCCACGCCCTTAGCGGCAGCTGCAAGAGCATCCTTCCTGCCCCGCCAGCCCAGTGCCCATAGACCACTTGGCCTGTGCCTCCAAGGACTTCAATTACAGCAGCAGTTTCATCTCCCCAGCTCAGAGCCAGTGTTGGCCACAGGCCCCATCTGCATTCCCAGAGGCTGGGCTGTTGGGCTGATCTGATAAGATTGCTCCATCAGGATCCCGCTGGGGCCACTGGTCTGGAAAGTCCCTTCTTCTGTGCCTCAACACTATCAAATAGGCAGATTCAGTATCTTTATCAACTTTCCCACCCCAGGCTAAGGAAGAGGTTTGATATGTATTGTCTTTTCTTGGGGGGAACCTCACCTTCAAAGTACAGTGATTTTATTATAGACCCTTATAAAAACACTAACAGTAGCAACTGATTGCCTTAGTGAAGGTAGTTGAGAAGAGAGAAATGGGGTGGAGGAGAAAAGATCCGGGGCCCCGGGTTGCTCATTTCCCAAGGCCCCAAGCATTTCTAGTCCTCCCTGAGCAGTAAAGACTTTAATTCCCTGTCACCAGTGCATCCAAGTCAGAAATACAAAAAAAAAAAAAAAGAAAGAAAGAAAGAAAAGAAAAGAACAAAAAAGAAGAAAAAAGAAAGAAAAGAAACAAGGAAAAAACACTAAATGGAAGGTTCTAATCGCTCCACAGGTGGATTATATCAGGCTGGAAAAGGGTTATTTCTACCTTGCTTGAGGGTGGGGTGGGGGGAAATTAGCAAGTGGTCACCAGGGCAGTAATTCTTTCTAACAGCTCACAGAGGAGGAAGAGAAAGAGGAGGAGCAGGTGGACCCTGGGGAGATCAGCCCTTCCTGATAGAGGTCTTCAGGGGGCCAAGGTACCCCAGCACAAGTGACCCTGCAGGTGCCAGGCTCAGCTGAGTCAGATAGGAAGGGTGTGGGATGGGGCGAGGTAGACACAGTCTGCTTTAAGCTTTTTGGCATGATCACGGGGCACAGTGATCCAAGGCCTCTCTCCAGAGTCACCAGGGCCAGTGCTGCCTCTGGACCCAAGGTGCCACAGCACCCCGGTCCATTCCTTGCTGCAACCCTGATCCTCATCTATGAGTCACCCTTTAATAAAGTCCGTTTCCTGCCTGCACCCCGTTATTAACTGGACCATTCCTTCTGTGACTGTGTGCGCTTGTCCCCTGGCTGTGTGAAAACTGGGGGCAACCATGGGAAGAGCAATGACTCAATTCCAGGCCCAGCCTCGACTCAAACTTAAGTCCCTTGTTTACTGCTGAATCCTCATGAGCAGCCATAAACCCCTGGGCCGCTCTCCCACCTTGCAAACCAGGCTTGAACTTGGGGGTCAGGGCAAGAGATCAGGCCCTCCCTCTGGAGCTCTCAATCTTGGGGGAGGGGGCTGCCATGGACACTCACAAACTTCTGTTCTTTGAAAACAAGTGACATGTGTTTGTTGAGCAGACACTAGGAAGAACAAATGAGCAAAAGAGAATTAAAAATCGCCCACGACTCCCCCGGAGAGGATCACTATTCCGGGCCTTAATTACTCGGTGTACTGCTTGTTAATCAGCCATTTGCACTTGTTAATGCACTGTGAGTACCTTTCAGGTCCAAAGAGTCTTTTCCACATCATTTTCCTTATTGACTACCAGAGTAGAGTATGTCCTGTGAGACACTCATTTTACCCACTCCTTGTGGTGGCCTTTGAAACTGCTTCTGGTATTGTGGGTAATGCTGATGCATTAATATCCTCCATGCATTTAGTTTCCCGTGGACCTGCCAGGCACGGGCACCCTCTGGGTATTGGACATACAGCCATTTGCAAAACAAAGACGTGTGTAGACACATCTCTGGGCACATCCTTCATTAGTTCTTTCAGCTGATGACTGGCTAGGGCACTAATGGGCCAAAGGGCACATCTTTGCTGGGATTCACCCTCCCAGAGGACTCCAAAGGCAGGGTCCCTGCATCCCAAAGGCTCCCTCTGAGAGCCACTCTAGCAGAGCCTGGCCGCTGCTCTGCCCCAGGCTGACCTGGCAGTGGGCACAGGCATGAGGACAGACAGCAGGTCCAGAGGCAGCTGGGAGAGGGCCTGGTTCCTGGGCTTGTGTGGCTGGTCTTGCCACCCTTTGGGCAGAGCTTCACTTGCTATCTGTGTTTTCCCAGCCCTCAAATTGGGCTGCTGGCCCTGGGCATGGAATGTAGTATTTGAAACTGGGCCATCCTAAATAATCCAGAGCTACTGAAGTGCCTCCCCTCCCCATCTCTGAGGCGGCCTTTTCAGGAGGGTCTAAGGAGGATCTGGAGAGGGGTGATGGTGCCCAGCCACCTACCCCAGGCCTCTGAGGGCGGGGCCCGATCCAAGCCCTGCCCCCCTACCCCAGGCCTCCTCCCCTACCCTTCCAGCGCTCGCGGCGGCGGGAGCACAGGTAGCTCGGGAACCCAAACCTGTCGGTCCGGTTTTGAGAGCCGCGGGAAGGAGGCTGCTGAAGGATGCACGGCCTGCCCTGTGCTCCGCCTGCACTCTCGGCCGCCTGAGCCCGGCTCCTGCTTGCCCCGCAGCCCACCCGCCGACCCCATGGCGAGCAAGCCGGGCGTCCTGGCGCCCCTGCTGGGCCTGGGCCTGGGGCTGGCCCTGAGTCTGTCCGGGTCGGGAGCTGCGGATTGCGGGTCCCTGGGCCCGGCCGAGCGCCTGGCATTCACCCCTGCTGCTAAGGCCCGGTGGCTGGCCCCTCGAGTTCGGGAGCCAGGGCCCCTGGACCCCCTCTACAGCACTGTGCGCCGCTTCCTCTCCGTGGTGCAGCTCAACCCCTTCCCCTCCGGTGAGTTGCCCCCTCCTAGGACCTGCATCCAGAGGCTTAGGGTCCCCAACCAGCACCCTTATCTCGTCTCCACTGTGGGGCTGCCTGCTCTATCAACAGGCACTGCAGAGGCAGGGTCCCCAGGATTCCCCAACCTCGACTCCCTTCCCAGAAGCCCCGGGGACATCACCTGGTTTAGGCTCCAGGATCTTCTTGTGTGACCTTGGGGAGACACTTTGCTTTCTGAGCCTTAGTTTCTCCTCTTAAAGTAGAGGAAATTACATTAGAAGGTCCCAAAGACCTGGCTAAGATTTACTCCCCTTCAGGGCTGCTTGGGGTTGGAAGGGCCAGGAGGGCATGCAGGACCTCTTCCTTCCCCTGGAGGGGAAGGACTTCTGGTCAAGGCCTGTCCCTGCTTTTAACCAAACCACAGCTTGCAAGGCTTACCTGCTGGGCCCAGGTGGACCAGTCCTCACCTCAGTCACTCTCTCCTGTAGCAGCATCTGGACACTGCTTTCCCCCAAGGGTGCTGTATGGTAGGGGGAGCCCCTCCCCAGAGCCCAACCTTGCCTGCAGTGGGGTGGACACAGGGGCAGGCAGCCACTGCCTCCACACTGCCCCACCCGCTGACTCTTTCCACAGAGCTGGTGAAGTCCCTGCTGAACGAGCCATCCTCTGTGAAGGTGGATGAGGTGAGCCCTGGGGAGCGTCCAGGGGAGGGAGTTCAGGGGTGAGAATGAAGGGCAGAAGTAGAACAGCATGGGTGGCCTCTAGGGTAGGGTCTCAGGCCTCCTTTTCCCTCCTCCATGAGGCTGCAGTTGGCAGACCTGTGTGGAAACCACAGCTTTGCCATTCATGGACGGGGGAAGGGATTGGGGGAGGGGGTATTGCAGTGAGCCTGAACCTCCCTGGACTTCAGTTTCCTCCTCTGTAAGAGGCAAATAGCCTAAGGACTCCCACTGCACCCGCTGGTTTTGTGAGATGCTGGAAAATGCTGGCCCACTTGCATTTCCCCACCCCCTTCTGTCCAGGACTGGGGCGATCTCCCCCCCAGGGTCTGGGGCAGAGGGTTGGGTATGGGGGTCAGGACAGCCTCCCATGCCTTGCTGCCCTGCCCGGTGCAGGTGGTGCGGTATGAGGCAGGCTACGTGGTGTGTGCTGTCATCGCTGGCCTCTACCTCCTGATGGTGCCTACCGCTGGGCTCTGTTTCTGTTGCTGCCGCCGGCGCCGGCGCTGTGGGGGCCGAGTGAAGACAGAGCACAAGGCCATGGCCTGTGAGCGAGGCACCCTCATGACTTTCCTGCTGCTGACCACCCTCGTGCTGCTGTGAGAGGCGCCCAGGTCAGGTGGGAGGGGTAGACTGAGGTGCCAGGTGCTCAGGGACATCCTGCAAGCCCTTTCCTCTTCCCCCACCCCCTCAGGATTGGCATGGTCTGTGCCTTTGTCACCAACCAGCGCATGCACAAGCAGATGGGCCCCAGTGCCGAGGCTGTGCCTGAGACTCTACTCAGCCTGCGGGGCTTGGTCTCTGATGTCCCTCAGGTGAGCAGAATCCATCACCCCCATGTGACCCCGGGAGACCCAAGCAGAATGGAGCGGAGTGGGACCTGTAAATTAGCCCTTAGCCTGCAAATTAAAGATGCCCCTTCTGACGTGCTCCCAATTGCCCCCTGCTGGAGAGTCACTGTAATACACAAATGCTCCAAGGTGTCCTTAGGATGCACACCCAGCTCTCTGTGGGAAGTGGAGGGGCCAGGATAGGGATGGAAGCAGGGCTATCAGTAACAAGGAAGGGCAGCATCACAGCTCTGTGTTTGTCTAGGAGCTACAGGCCGTGGCACAGCAGTTCTCCCTTCCACAGAGGCAAGTCTTGGAGGAACTAGATGGTAAGGGATACAGCTAACTGACAAGCTGGCCAGCCCCAGTGGTCCCCTGCTCAGACTGCCTGGGGAGTCTCTCTCTTCCCTTCCCCTGGGGTCCACCTGAGAACACCTACACAGAAGCAGGGGGGAACAGGCCCACCTGGGCAGCATAGCAGCCCCTCTACAGCAAGACCAAGAAACTGATGTCCACCCAACGGAGCCAAGTGCTGGGTCCTGGAAGGCTGAATGAGCAGTGGCAGGAGAGCCCCAGGTTCCTGGGGGCAGCTCTGCAGACTGCCCTGTGCTCTCCAGGTGCTGGCCTGAGCATCGGACACGCGATCCACGCCCAGCTTGGGAGCACTGTCTACCATGCTCTTGCCTCAGTGCTCAGCTCGGGCCAGGGTGAGTGGGACTAGTATTCTGGGTGGGTGTGGGGTGCGGCATGTGTCCTCCTGGGGGCAGACCCCGCCCTTATCCAGTTATGATTTCTTGTGCCACCTCAGCAAGCCCCACCCATGACTTTCCCAGGGCTTTATCCCAGAATCCCTGCTTCCTGTGGCCTCCCTGCCCAAGTTCTGGTTTAACATGCCCTGGAGCAGTTTCCATTATAACTACCAAGGTTAATAACCTGCAGATCCCTTTGACTGGGGGAGGGGAAGGTGTTCTGCCTCCTGCAAAGCCTCTGAGGATGCCAGTAACAATGGAAATCGCTCAGTCAGGATGTGGGGGAGGGGGAGGTATTCTGCCTCCTGCAAAGCCTCTGAGGATGCCAGTAACAATGGAAACCGCTCAGTCAGGATGTGGGTCTCTCAGCCCTGCAGATCTCTGCAGACCACCTCCGAGCCCTGAACGCCACCTTGGTGGAGCTGTGGCAGGGGCAGCGGGACTTGGAGCCAGCTGTCCGGGAGCGCCGGGAGCACCTCCTCATCCTGCTGCAGGATACTGGCTGCCAGGGCTGTGCAGAGGCTCTGAGCCAGGCCCACACCCTGGAGCTGGGAGCTGACTTCAGCCAGGTGCGGGTGAAGGACAGGTTCTTGGAGCCGAGGGCCTCTGCCTGCCGTCCCAGGAATCCCTGGCAGCCTGTGTTCTCTTGTTTTCTGAGGCACAGCCCTGATCCCTGTCCATGGTCTGCTCTGCCCCTCTCCTCATACATCCTGGGTTAAGAGGCCCATCCTGGCTAGGCAAGAGTTTTGGGCATGCACTATGCTGTGTGGTTCAAGCACCTTAGCCCCTTAAGTTCTCACTGCCACCCAGGGCTGTGCTGGTCCCTCATTTTACACATGAGGACACGGAGGGATCAGAGGCCTCTCTCCCCACCCTCCCCCGGGGGCCCCTCTCAGGCCTCTCCATGAACATTTTCTTTGCCTCTCCCCCCTTCCAGGTGCCCCCTGTGGATGATGTCCTGCATCGTCTGCAGGGTGTCCCGAAAACCAATTTCTCTGACATGGTCGAGGAGGTATGTGCCTGCCCTGGCCTATCTGATTTCTCCTGCACTTATCTGGGCACTCAGTTTCCTCCCTTTTGGGGTAGGACCCAGTAGAATCTAAGACTTGGGTCAAACCAGGGCTTCCCCTGCCACAAGGCATCCTGGGCTGTGTCCTGAGTACACATGGACTGGTGGGGAAGGCAGACCTGCGTGAAGCAAAGAGCTAGGACCCTCTGGGAGGTGAAGCCAGAGGTGCTGGCAAGGGAGCAAGCACACAAACTGGTCTCCAAGGACAGGCAGGCTCTTGTGGGTGGAGACGGGCCGTGGGGGAGGGTGCAGTGTGAGTCAGCACCCGTGACCCAGGGCCTGGAAAATGCCAGAGTTAGGGAAATGGTGAGTCAGTTGTGCTAGGTAACTCGAGTGGAAGGTTCCAGGAGGAAGGAAGTAGAAGCTGAGGCTGGAAGAGTAGGTTGGAACAGGACTTTAGGGAAATAGACCTGGTAGTCATGTGCAGCATGGGTGAACGAGATGAGAGGATTGCTGGCAGTCTGCTCCAATAGGCTAGGCAAGGTGGGGGTAGGGGAGAGAAAGGAGGTGCCTTTGAGGGACAGTGTTTTTAGGGAGTTGGGTCAGGCTGGGCTGAGGGAGGGGAGAGGAAGCCATAGGCCAAGAGAACAGAAGGAAGTCTACTTCTGATTTCCTGAGCTGGCAGCACTGCAGGGATGCCCTCCCTCTGGGCCTGATGACTACAGGGTGCCTGAAGCTGGGGCCCCAGGTGGAGAGCAGGAGGCATAACTGCATTTGTTTCTGACAGGAGAACAGCACCTTCAATGCCCTTCCGCTCCTGGCCGCCTTGCAGACAGCTGATGTGGTCAAAGGTGAGGCCCTGCACAGGGCCAGGCCGATTGCCACCCCTCTCTACCAGAGAGGCTTGTTGAGAGAGAAATGGGGCGGTGGGAGGGGAGAGGAAGCCGTGCTCCTTGGCCAGACCTCGACGGCCAGTGTTCCTCTCTGAGCATCCCAAATGTTCTTCCTGCCCATCTATCTCCTCCCTGGGTGCCTTTCCCATCTATTAAGTCCCTGCTGTTTTGGGCAGAGCTGAAGAAGGTGGTGAAACAGCAGCCTGAAGGACTGAGGACACTGGCCGAAGGGTTTCCAGGCTGGGAGGGGGCCTCCCGCTGGAGCCAAGCACTGGAGGAGGCGGAACAGAGCAGCCGCCCCTACCTGAAGGAGTTGCAGAGATATGAGAAATACAGGTGCCTGGGAACCTCACAGGTGGGGTGGACAGTGCAACCTCTCAGCTGTCCAGGGCCCAATGTTCAGTCCCCGTCATGCCCTAGTTCTACTAAGTCTCTACTTCCATTTATACCATGACCCCTGGGCCTCTGTGTCCCCCCTTGGCCACGTACTTTTGGGATCTAAGCCTGGGGAAAAGTGGGATAAGAAAAGTGGGTTCTTAGGAAATGCACACAACAACACTTCTAAAGCCCCAGCTTTGGCTTCATGGCCCTACCCAGTCCCTAGGTGCTGTGCCAGCCCATCTGGTTGCTCAGTTGCTCCCTTCTTGGTGACACTGCACCTTCTCTGTTGCAGGTGGATTATGGGTTGTGTGCTGTGCTCCGTGGTCCTTCTTGTGGTGTTCTGTAACCTGGTAGGCCTCAACCTGGGCATCTGGGGGCTGTCTGCCAGAGAGGACCCCAGCCACTCAGAAGCCAAAGGAGAGGCTGGAGCCCGCTTCCTCATGGTGTAAGAAGGACTGGGGGAAGGGAAGGTTCTCTCCCCATTGGGCTGGCCACATTCCTCTTGCTCCTAATGTGGCTACAGGTCTAGTTCTCTCTCTGGCACCAGTTTGCCAGATAGCCTGAGCAAATTGGCAACCCATCTAGGTTTCCGTGTTCTCCTCTGTTTAAAAGGGTTGAACTCAAGCATGGATGGCAAATAAAGAAGAGGTTCCCCATCAGTGGCAACTATAGTGATTTAATGATCACTTTCCCAATCAGGCCTCAGAATCCTTCTTAATCCAGCATCCAGGCAGCACCACCAACAAGAGTTGGCAGCAGAAGCAGAACCTTTGCCATCCCTGTGCTAAGTGGTCTCTACGGCCAGGATGGCCATATTTAGTTATGTAGGGTGCCTGGCAAAAGAGTGAACTAAACCAGACATCAGTCCATGTTTCACTCTCCAAGCTTCAAGCCCTAGTGTGAGAAACCCTCTAGGCCAGGCACTGGTCTTGCTCAGACCCTCTCGGTTACTGCCCTCGCTGGGTGACCATGCCACGGGGCTCTGTTGAGGACTCAACTCTGGAGCTGGGCCCCTCCTGATTCTATGAGCAGAACAGCTGCCCTCTCTAGGCTGCAGGGCCAGTCATTGGTGATAGGATGAGGGTGAGTTGGGGATGAGGTGGGGACACTCAGCACTTCTCACTTTTCCCTTGTACCCAGGAGGCTGTGCCCCTGAGCTTCTCTCCCCAAAGGGCTGTGCTCTGGGACTGAGTCTCTGAAAATGACAGTCCCAGCATGTGGATGGGGACAGAGTCTGGTCCGAGGCACTCAGCCACCTCTGCCGAGTCTCAGCCCTGCCCTCTGCCTTCCTCAGGGGCGTGGCCATCAGTTTCCTCTTCGCTGTACCCCTCATCCTCCTGGTCTTTGCCACCTTCCTGGTGGGCGGCAACGTGCAGACTCTGGTGTGCCGGAGCTGGGAGAGCGGGGAGCTCTACAAGGTGTGCCTGCCCCACTCCAGGGTCCAGAGGGAGGAAGAGGGAGATGTGGCAGAGCAAGAGGATTGGAAGGAAGTGGGGCAAGAGGGAGAGAGGGACAGGAACAGTGGAGATGGCCGAGGAAAAAAACAGAAAACTGCTAATAAATAAAGAGTTAGAGAGAGAGCCTGTGGGTCCCTGATATGCTGCCTGGGCTCCAGCACAGACCCCCTGAGGGGTTTCACCTAGACCTAAGCCCCTCTACTTTCCTAACGCTGGGTCTATAATCTGGGAACACTGGTTCCCTAGCACTTCTAGCAGGGAAGCCAAGATGCTGGCTCAGTCTCTCTGCTGAAGACCAGGCTGACCACCCCTCCTAGAGATTCATGGGGAGAGGTGCTACCAGTAGCTAGGGTCCAGGAGAGGCTGGTTTGGGTTAGAGTCACAGGAGGGTGGTCTCTACTATGAGGGGTGCCATGGGACTATGGGACATGGGATGACTTTGCCTCCATCCTGCTCCAGACCCATTTCTCCCTGCCCATCTCCAGTTTGCAGATACCCCAGGGAACTTGCCTCCATCCATGAACTTGACCCAACTTCTTGGTTTGAAGAACATCAGCATCTTAGTGGCCTATCAGTGAGTGGGAAGCCTGGGCTGGGGGCTGGGTATGAGGAGGGGCCAAGATGGATGTCCCATTAGGGTGACGTCAGCCCCTACCTGCCATCCCTTTTTTTACTGCCCATTGTTCCTCCTCAGGCAGTGCAGGGAAGGGGCCGCACTCTGGAAGGTCCTACAGCTCAATGACACCTATGACCTGGAGAAGCACCTGGATATCAACCAGGTGAGAACCTTCCAGAAGGCTGTGGAGACCCCTCCTGCAAGTCTCCCATTCTTTGATCTTGCCTCTGTGGGGGGTCTAGCTCCTTGAACCTGAGAAGTCTGCAAGAGTGATCAAGTGACCCGAGGGCAGAGGCCCCAGGTGCAAGGCTCAGGGACTGGCCTAGGGCTAGAGATCAGGGAAGGTTCCAGGGTATGTGAGTGGGTAGATGTGAGCATGGCCCACACTGAGCCTGTACTCAGGAAAAACCTGATAGTTGTGATTGTAGCAGGAAAGTATGGTGACAGTGAGTGAGGGAACTAGGGGTGTGTGTCCTGGCCAAGGACTGGCATTGGTTGGGGTGCTATGATTTGTAGTGGGGTGTTTGGGGAGTGAGTCGTGACAATGAAAATGATGGTGATGAGTTGGGTACTAAGGGCTCACTAAGGCCCCTTGCTCACACTGCCAGTAAGAAGATGGTGGCAGTTCCACCCTGTCTGTGCCTGTCTCCTAACATACTTTCTGGAACTTTGTGTGAAGAACTGGAGAAATTTATCCTTGCTGGCTGGAGATAGTCCTGGCACAAAGAAAAGGATGAGCTATTTTACAAGAGTTGATATACCTTGAGAATGTGGTTCTTCTGAGGGGGTAGAGAAGCTAAAAAGCATTCCCTGCGTGCCTCGCTCTTCTCCTAAGTGAGGTGGGAAGAGAGCTGCCTTGACTCCAGGAAACCCTTCCCAAGCACATTCCAGGAAAACTCACATTTCTTCCATCTGCTTTAGTCGCCCAAACGTGCTAACTCCTGATTCTACATCCTTTCCAGAAATCTTCCAAATCCTTTGAAAGCTGGAAGCCTATGGGTAGTGTAGCCAAATGGCCTAGATTTAAATCCTAGCTCCAAGCCTTCAACTGCATTACCTGAAACAGTTTGTAGAATGCCTTAGCTTGCTCTTCCTCCAGTGTTGTCTCCAACCCAATGAGAGGGGCCTGGAGCAGGCCCAATGCTAGGCCACAGACAGCCCCAAGGGTATAGGCTGGCCAGGGAGGGCTGAAGTAGGGGCCTGGGCAAGATGGACCCTGTGCTGTCTGGCTGGAAGCCATGGTTCTTTGTGTGTGACGGGGGGGGGGGGGGGGGGGACAGAGTTGTGATGAGGTGGTCTCAATCCTGGTTCCTGGAGGGGAAGGGCCTGCTTGCAGGGAAGTCTGGACAGCTAGCACTTCAGGTTCAGAGGGACCAGACAGTCCCCCATGTCTTTAGCAACATACCAAATGTGACTTCCAAAGAACTTGTCCTCAAAGGAGATGATAACGAGCTGATGATGCCGACATAAATAAGATAAGGTGTGCTTTCCAGGGCACCAGCCCAGAAGGCCTCCGCCCACTTTCAAACCTGTCCAGAACATATCTGCTACTGATGCCTGAAATGCTGCTTCAAGATCTCCCTTAGAGAGGAGGCCCAGCCTCTTCCAGCAGAAGGCAGTGTCACAGGACAGGGAAGGCTGCAAAACCTCAGGAAAGTGAATGCTCTTGTCTGGCCCAAGTTTCTCTTAAACATCTGTTAAACATTGACGCTGAATTTCATGTCCTTTAAAGCTCTGCTAGTAAAGTTAGGAAAATGCCGAGAGTCCTTTTTAAAACCGCGGTCTGTTTGGAAATGCGGGTGTGTCTATTCATTCAGCTGTGCAGCCCTCCATTTGTTCATTTTCACTCATCCACCACTTGTGCCCACCACGTGTGAGCCTCTGCTCCAGAGAGGTTTGGCACAGAATGGGCAGACAAGGTGTGCTCCCGTCAAGCTTATTTCAGAGGACAGGTGCTATGAAGGCCTCAACACAGCTGATGTGATAAAAAGGTCGGAGAAGTTATTTTTAATTAGGTGGCATGGGAAGGTCTGTGCCACTCTCCAGTCACCAGGGAGGTACTGGAGAACTAGGTCCTGGTGGGTTAGGTGGGGTGGATGGCGTGGGAGCAGAGGCCAGCCAGGAGCTAGTCTGGGACTGTACGTGTCCAGAGTGAGGGCCCTGGGATTCTAGAACAGGACCCCCTGAGGGTTTGGCAACATCTTGTCTGGGAGAGTCGCTCTGGGAATGCCCCTACCTTTCCTCTTCCTCGCAGTACGCTGCCAAATTGCGGCAGAAAGTGCAGAGCCTTAAAGTGAATGTGCAGAGTCTGGACCTGCTGAGCCCAGCTGCCCGCCGGGACCTGGAGGCCCTGAAAAGCAGTGGCATCGAGAATATCCACTACCCTGGCTTCTTTGCTCAGGTCAGCAGTGGGCACCTCAGGCCAGCTCAGAGAGGAACAGGGGCCCACAGAGGAGCTGGGGGTGTGTCTCGCCTTTCCTAGCCTTCCACCTTCCCTACACTCGTCTACATGTCCCTGGGGCCTCTTCCTGTTGGGAGTGCCCCCACCCTATAGCTTATGTCACTGTTTGTGGTCCCGAACCCTCTGCTGTGCAGAGCGCTGGTGGGAACATGCCACTTCTTTGTTGAGTTACACCACAGGGTGTCTGGACATTGTCTGATGTGTTTCACAATTTCAGGTCAAGCCCACTGTGACTGATGTGTCACATTAGACTTTGCATTGCATTGACCTCACACCAACCCCTTTTGATGGCAAAGCAAAGAGCACACCTCCATTTCAGTAGATGCCATTGCAGCTCAGAGAGGTTTTTGCGTCTAAGTAATGTGAGGTAGCTTTGAAAAGACAGGGATCCAGGAGCTGGGGTTGCTGGGCTTCATTCCTCTTGACATCTCCTGTTGGCCTGCAGATCCAGAAGCCTGTGGTGAACACTGATATGAAGAAGCTGGCCCAGGAGCTGCAAAGACTGGCCCAGACCCAAGTGAGAAGGGATCAGTGGCCCCATGGGGCAGGCAGGCGTCAGAGAAAGGCCTGGGAGGCGGGAGGGGGTGGCAGTACTTCAATTGGGGAGAGGGTGAGGGTCAAGACAGGGCAGTTTAAGGGTGTTTAAGGGTGTTGCAGTGTCAGTTTTGACTAAAGCTTTGTCACCAATTAGTTGTGTGACCTTGGACAGGTCATTTGCAATATCTTTGGGCCTCTAAATATACACTGCAAAATCTGCTGGGCAGATCCTATGAAGACATTGTGATGGATCAGAGGCTATGACAGTTTCCTCTAGAAGCTAAAAACTACTGGGAAAAAATGGCATTTTGCCTGTATAAATCTTTAGAGTTTAAAAAGTTCACTTTTAGACATTGCATTGACCTCATACAAACCCCTTATGATGGTAAAGCAAAGAGCACACCTCCATTTCAGTAGATACCATTGCAGCTCAGAGAGGTTTTGTGGCTGACTTAGAGGCACCAAGCAAACTAGGGGTGGGCCTAGAAGGTGGGCTAAGTCTCCACAAACACTTATCAGAACCAGGAGCTTAAGGTGCCTTGGTTTTCTGCCTCTCAGCCTGCGTGTTCCACCATCCTTCCACATGTCTGGCTGAACAGCTCGGTGAAGATGTGTTGGCAAAGGCCGTCCTGTCCCGGGCAGGGTGCCATTCTCATCTCTTTCTTCCCTCAGGACAATTCTGTGCTACAGCAGCAGCTGCAGGAGGAGGCCCGAAGGCTCAGAAGCCTCTATCAGGAGAAGGTCCTCACCCAGCAGAACCTTGTGGTAAGTTTGGAGACCCAGGGACTAGGGGGCAGAGTGGGGCCTAAAAGAGGAGGGCAGCACTTCGAACTTTCCCTCCCGCCCCAAATCCTCACCTAACCAGCCTTCATCTCTTCTCTGCAGGCTAAGCTCAACCTCAGTGTCAGGACCCTGGCAACCTCTGCCCCACATCTCCAGGTGGCTGCTGGGATGGGGAGGATGGAGTGGAGCAGGGGGGAAGCAGAGGGAGGAGGCAGTGTGGGCCCAGCTGGCTTTGAATCACATCTGCACTGCCAGGTCCCATTGGAGGTCGAGAGTGAGAGTGGGAAGAGGTTGGAGGTGAGTGGGTGGGTGGGTACTTGAGGACCACCATCCTTGGCTCTATGTCCTTAGGATCTAAGCTGAGGATGCTGTGTATTGTAAGTTGAATGAATGGATGGATGGATGAGTGAGTGTGTGAGAGTTCCTTGACTGAGAAGGGCACTGACTTGATCCCCTCTCCCCCAGGTGAACACCTCACGTGTCCTGGACACTGTTGCTTACCTGAAAGGAGAGCTGCCTTCCTGGGCCAACCGTGTCCTGAGGAATGTGAGTGGGGGTGGGACAGGGGAAGTGGGCTTCCTTAGATCCATAGGTAGGTGGAGGGACTAAGGCACACAGAGCTCCCTCCCAGGCTTCTCCCCCAGCTCTGTCACCTCACCATGGCTACCCAGGAAAGCCAGCTTGGCCGTTCTAATGGTGCCAGGCATTGGGAGGTGGGGGTGCTGCTTCCCAGGACTCCTCTCAGCCCAGCGCTGTTCTTTCCTGCAGGAAAGCGAGTGTTTCCTGTCTCGGGAGATGGGCTACTTCTCCCAGTATGTGACCTGGGTGAGAGAGGAGGTGAGTGGGGACTCAGACCCCTCCTGGCCTCAGAGCAACAACCAGTCACCCAACTCACAGTGGTACCAGCCATTCACCTTGCTCCTCCTCTCTGCCCCCCAAGCCCCTGGTGTTGCCCTAAACTCCCAAACCTGGCGTCCACCCCCACCTTGGACCCTTGAGTGTATCTGTGCGTGCATGCGTGTGTGTAGTGCGGTGTGTTCTCGCTCTGTGCGTCTGCATCCAGGTGTCTGTGTATGACTGTGCCCCGTCAGTCTGAATATGGAGGTCTGGGTGTCTCCACACGTACCTGCCTCATGGTCACTTCACAGGTGACTCAGCGCATCGCCACCTGCCAGCCCCTCTCCGGGGCTCTGGACAATGGCCGTGTGATCCTGTGTGACATGATGGCTGACCCCTGGGTGAGTGTCCCCAAGCTTCTCAGGGTGCACAGGTATTGAGACCTCCATGGGAGGCGCAGTGTGAGCAGGTCATAAGGTGAGGCTAGCCTCCTGCTCCCAGGCTTGTACCCCAGTCCTTCGCCTCAGCTCTGAGAGTGTTCCCCCAGGCCCTTCACTGAGTCTTTGGGGAGCTGGGGGTCCAGACATTGATACCTGGCTACAGAAAGCTGACCCCACACTGTCACCTGTTCCAGAATGCCTTCTGGTTCTGCCTGGCATGGTGCACCTTTTTCCTGATCCCCAGCATCATCTTTGCTGTTAAGACCACCAAATACTTCCGTCCCATCCGGAAACGCCTCAGGTGAGAGGGCTGCTAGGACCTTGGGAAGCAGCAAGGGTCCAGAAAGGGGTCTCTGGGCCCGGTCCCCGGACACATCCATCATGAGACACCCTGCCTACCCCCCGGCAGGGGAGGTGCATGCCTAACCATGAAGAGCCACACATTCTGAGGAGCTCCACGGTCACAACTCCAGGGGCTGTGTGTCAGCCCCATATCCTTGCCACACATCCACCAGGCATAGCATTTGGGGACTCTTCCTACCCTGGGCGGCTTCCTGGCAGGAAAATCAGGACTCTGGGTCTGTCTCTGTGCTGGGTGGGGGGTTCTGAGCCTGGGTGTTCACTTGCTCTCTTTCCGCGAGACCACAGCTCCACCAGCTCAGAGGAGACTCAGCTCTTCCACATCCCCCGGGTCACCTCCCTAAAGCTCTAAGGGGCCAGTGGGTAAGTGCTGGGGCGGGGGCAGGTAGGGGAGGGGCATGGCAGGGTCTGGGTGTTGGTTCCTTGCAGCAGGGCTGACGGGCCTGCGCCCTGCTCTCCCTGTCTTCGCCTCACCAGCTCCATTCTTAATCCATGACAGGGGTGTTTGCTGGTGGCCAGCTGCCGCCCAGGGCTATCTGCCATCTTCCCATTGACCTGGATTGGACAAGAGGACTTCCGTTGCTCTTGCTGCCAGAGCCCAGGCCAGCGTCCAGGCTCCAGTTGTCCCCCATATCATCACCTGACTCCATTTTCCCTGTTCCTTTTCTATCCCCTTCTGCTCAGAACATCCTTCATTCATCCTTAAAAACACACTCAACTTCTGTTGAGCCCCAGAGCCCACAGGTACCTCCACGTGTCTGTCCCTCATCCTAGCTGCAGTGTAGCAGCACCAGGAGGAGCCTGTTCTCCACCTTTCGGGACCCCTTCCCCAGCCCCTTGGGTGGACAGAGACTGCCTAACCCCACTCTGTCACCATCTCCCTTCCCTTCCCTGCTCCTGCCTCCAGCCCTCCTCCCCAAGCCCCCCTCTCCCTTATTCACATCTGGTGCCCCCACTTGCCCCCTCCCCAGACCTTTGCTCCTCCTCCAGGGAATCCCTTTCCTCCTTTGTCCCCTTTTTACCTCATCCCACTACCTTGCTGGTCCGCTAGGGCCCCTCCTGCCTGACTGAACTTATCAGGTAAAGTCACCAAGCAGTCCAGAGACTACAGCCCAGATCTGAGCTGCCTTCAGACTCTGCCTTGTGGCCCGGAGCCCACCACTGCCCTTGGACTTGGACCCTGCACAGGCCGTGACCTGTCTGAAGCCTAAGCGTCTGGCCTGCATCTGGGTTAGAAATAATGCTGCTGTGCCCCAGCTCCTCTCTGAGCACTGGGTCCCTAGGAAGGGCCCTGGGCTAGAGCTGGGGCTTCCCCACCAACCCCCAGGAGATAGTATCTTCAACAACCTCACCCAGCTTACTCATGAGGGATCTGGTGTCCTCAGCAGGCTTTTGCACTCTGGCCCTATCCCTTCTGTCTGCTTCATGTAGCCTAGGGTCACCCCTAATTCATCCCTGTGTCTTCTGTGTCCTGGACCCTGAGTTCCAAAAACAGGGACGAGGAGGAGGGGAGAGAAGAGATGGCCAGAACTCAGATCCATTGAAGTGTTTGTTCTCATGCTCCTAAGCCTTGGTCTTGGGTCCTTGACACCACATCTCCCAGGCTGGGATGCCTGTATCCAGTTGGTATTTAATGTGTGTATGTGGAGAGGAGAATCCAAGGCCTCCTCTGACCGCAGGTGTGCGGGAATCCCCCACAATCAGCACCTGGGGCGTGGGGCACGCCCTGGGGGCAGGCGGGCCTGGGTTCACATCTCGGCTGTAACCCTTGTTAGCTGGGGCACCTTGAACATGCTACATGGGCCCCTGGGCCTCAGCTTCTCCATGTATAAGATGGAGAGAAGACATAACCTCCCTGGAGGGTTACGGCAAACATGACCGTGTGTGGAAACTGCCTGGCAGGGAACTAGCCCCAAACAAATGCCCCAATACTGCCTGTTTCTACCATGGCCGCTCCAGGTCTGGGGCAGAGCTGGCCGGGGCAGGTACAGGGACGAGGGAAATAGGTCCTTGCTTAATGGTGCAAAGCCCTTTTAGGTTGTCTGCCAAGTTTCGGGGTGGGGGTGGGGTCTGGTTTTAACTGCATCTTACATACCAGCAACATATTTGCTCCTCGACGTTAGGATGATGCATTCACAATGTATTGTCACAATTGGAGCACTCTCTTAGGCGGCATTCTTGAGTGAAGTAAAATCACCTCTTTTTGGCTTTCCCCAGAGGTTATTGTGCTGGTTCCTCATCGGTTGCCTTGTGCACAGGAACTGTTACACCTTGCATTTTAAGAATGAAATTGATGGAATAAAAAAAGACAACCAGAAATGATTTAAAATTTTTTTTTTCACTTGCCTGTTTTGTGTATTTGAACATAACAAGCTGAGTTATTTTTAAGTTCAATAACTCCTGAACATGGAGCCTCTGTGAGTCTGTTTCTCATGTCTGTCATTCTTCTTGGTTTTTGTTAGTTTTGTCTGTCTCCTCACTGCTTGGTGATTTTTGATTGAGTATCACACATTGTATCTAGTCGCCTGTAGAAATAATTGGAAGTAGGAAGGCGTTTTCTTCCTCCATGATGTTCACATCTGGCAGTTGCCTTGGGCTGTAGCAAACCAGGAAAACTTAAATCTACTTTCAGGGAATATGATGACTTGTAGCCTTTGAAGGGCTGATCTACTTCCAGCTCATTTGTATTCCAGGAGTAAAGCCCCCCTGGGGGTCCCACCCCAAAGCATGAAATATTTGCCAGCTGCCTCTTCCTCTTGATGGGTTCAGTTTCCAACTTCTTAGTCCCCAAGGCTGTTACAACTCTGCTTGACATCTTTACAGTGTCTTCTGGGACCAGTGGACCTGCACTGCCTTCCTCCCACTTGAGAGAAAGTAACCCCCAAAACCAGGCATATGTCTCTGTGTTTTCTTCTTTCCCCAGATCTTGGGCCTGTGATAATTCACTGCCTTGTTTTCTCTCCCAAGCCCCACATCTGACTTTTAAAATATACTTATTTTGGGCCTCCCCGGTGGCGCAGCGGTTGAGCGCTGGGTTGCGAAGCTGCCCGCTACCTCTGCAGCACCGGTTCGATCCCTGGCCACCAGGCGAGGGTCCCACATGGCGCGCAGACCTCTCCTGCCGCCCACTGTTCCCCTCAGCAGTGTACTTCGGTCCTTCTGCCTGCTCTGCTCCCCGCTCTGGCTCTGGTGAATTCTCTCACCCTCCCGCGCTTCTGACTGTACCCAGTGCTTGTATAAATAAATAAAGGAAAAAAAAAAAAAAAGAAAATGCCACTTCCAGTCCCTTTAAATCATTAAAATATATATATATATGTATATATGTATACTTATTTTGAGCAGCTTTTAATTAACCTCAGGAATTTAATCCAAGTGACCTAGTTTGCTGTGATCAGAAGTAGTAGTAGTAAAAACTTAATTTTTATTTCCCCCTATGATTTGGGAAAAGGTTGCTACTCTTTGAATTTTGTATCCAGAAACCTTGGCCTGGCGAACTGAACAGTGACTTTTCAAAGGAGCTCAGTTTGAAGAGCATCAATGTAGGCTCATTCTCTGGAGAGGGCATGGCACTTGGCAAGTGAAAGAAATAGTCACAGAGAAAAATGTATTACAAATTTTTCTGGTTTTAAAATGCCAGGATTGGGCCTCCCCTGGTGGTGCAGCGGTTGAGCGCTGGGCTACGAAGCTGCCCGCAGCCTCTGCAGTGCTGTTTCGATCCCAGCGAGGGTCCCCATGGCAGAAAGACCTCTCCTGCCGCCCGCTGCTCCCCTCAGCAGTGTATTTCGTCAGTCTGCCTGTTCTGTTCCCTGCTCTGGCTCTGGTGAATTCTCTCACCCTCCCATGCTTCTGACTGTACCCAGTGCTTATATAAATAAATAAATAAATAAATAAATAAATAAATAAATAAATAAATAAATAAATAAATAAAATGCCAGGATTCCCAAATGCTAATCCTATGTGTAAAACAAAGCCCCTTCGTGGTCATTCTCTGCAGGGTTGGGAGCCGTCCCTGTTTCATAGTTGAGTAAATGGAGCTACATGACTTAAATGTCTCCAGTGGAAGGCCAGGCAGGCTTTGGATTCAGGTCCTGTGGTCCTGGTGGCCCTGGAGGCTCCCTCCTTCGTGTCCTGCCAGTATCCTAGCCCTGTGATTGCATGGGAGAGAGGCCCTGTCTCCAAGGAGATTTGATTCAACTGTCCTTGCTGTCCCTGTGGCAGGAGGGATGACAGATTGGAGGCCCTGGGAGTTCTGCCAGGTACTCCAGCCCAGCCATCCCAGAGCAAAAGCCCCATGAGCCATGAGTGACGGCCTGGGCATCTGAGGTCCCAGGTGGCTGGCCCAGGCAGTGCTCACAGGTTCCATGTGGCTCCATGTGTGCAAGGAAGTGTCATGTGGCTGGGGGTCCTCAGGGCACAGAGAGCTAGCATATATTGAACTGTTAGTATACATCAGGAACTGTGCTAACCACTTGATTTTTTTTAAAGATTTATTTATTATTTATGCATAGAAGATCTTGGGTGTACACCAGAGGTGTGGGGGTAAGAGGATTCACCAGAGACAGAGTGGGGAGCAGAACAAGCAGATCTACTGAAATATACTGCTGAGGGGAGAAGCGAGGCGAGACAGGAGAGGTCTGCTGCACCATCTGTGTCAGCTCCCTGGCCGGGGATTGAACTCAGGGATCGAACTCATACTGCGGTGGCGGGTGATAGCACTGAGACTTCACCCCTTGCGCCACCAGGAAGGCCTGTGTTAAGCACTTTAGATGAATTAATTAAGGTAGGCGTTGTTATTTACCTATTTACAGTGGAGGAAATTATCAATAAGTTACTGAGACTGGATGTGGACTGAGTAGAAAGGGCACTACCTGCCCAAAGGGATCAACTGATGATGGTGGCATGTCAGGTGATATCTGAATCCTCCAGGGTTGGCCTGAGGCCCTGCTCAGTGGCTGTGGATGGTGGCCCTCTTCTGCACCCAACCACATCCAAGGCCTCCCTACCCTTAACTCCTAGCGCACACTGTCTCTACAGGCCTGAGTGCCCGGACTGAGGCAGCTTGGTCTGTACACAGTGTGCTGTTGGAATGAAGCACCTTCCCCACGGTCCTGGCCTTCCTTGCACTTCCTGGATGCGCCGCCTGGGGACAGCGAGCCTACCTCCATCTGACACGGTGTACTGTAGCTCCAGGGAAGGCTGGGTGTGACCCCTGATCTCTGCCCATGAGTGATGCCGAATTGAAGTGCCTGCACACACACTGAGGGGATCCAGGGATTAGAAGGTAGAGAAGGGGTTTTGGGGGCAGGTACGTGAGCCCAAGCGAGGAGAAGGGTGGCATGTCTTCACTTCAAGCCAGAAGGAAGGGGACTTTAAGGAGTGCTGGCAGAGAGCTTCATCGCATACAATGCAGTTTGAGAAATCCAGAGGATTGATGTCTCTCCCCCACTTGTAAGTCTGGAGGGACAAGGCAGGGGGTTGCCTGACTGGCAGAGCAAAGAGGAGGGCTTCTGGGAAGATGGGAGTCAACATGGACTCAGACCCCATCTCTGGAGGCTGCTGGAGTGTGAACAGACTTCAGTCCAGGAAAAGGCCAGCACCCTGGAGCTGCTGCAGGGTGTCAGGGACTATCAGTCATCCTGAGGGCTGTGTGGGAGGTACCCACTAAAGGGCCTTGAGGCACCCACAGGAGGGAGAGATGCAGCCACAGTTCCAGGACAACTCTGGCTCCAGGCTGACCCCCATGAGTTGGGCAGAGCACCTGGGCTGCACAGCAGGAGAGCTGGCCATGTCAGGGCCCCCCAACCCCTGCCCTAGCGGACACTGTTGTGTGATGTGAAGTGGTGATGGAGAACCCACTTATCTCCCTACCAAGCAGCACCCCAGGCCCACCAGGTTCCCATCCAGTCATGGGAGGGCAGGCAGAAGAGACTTCGAGGTCCAGTGGAAGTCACAAATAAGGCTGCTTTAGTCTGCTTTCCTGTTCCACAGCCGTGCTGGCTCATGGCATGCTGTGGAATCCAGGGGACAGCTGTTTTTGGACAACAGATATTTCTTGAACTACTGTGAGGAGGGGGTACACATGCCTGGTGAGACCCATCTCTACCCAGAAGGGCCTTCCTCAAAGACAAGGGTTCCTGGTGGGTCAAAGCCTCAAACCTTAAAATGTATAACTGTGTTGAGCATGCCTCCTCCCCCTTGGCCAGGGACCCACAAATCCAGGGATCCCCAAAAGGGCCCAGAAAAAGAAGCATCTTAGAAATTCCATGGACCCTGCCTGAGGGGGGGATTTTGAACTTGGGTCTGGAGTTGTGAGGATTGTGAGCAACAACTGAGGAATGTCCAGAAGGCCCCAAGATTTGTGGATGGGGTGATGTGAGCTCCTGGGGTCAGAATAAAGACCCCTTGCCTGCTAAGACGGCTCAACATGCCTCCTCAAATGCAACATGCTCAAATGTTGTAACATAAGTGTAGGGAAGGTGAATTGATCGGGCTTTTTGTTCCTCTAGCCTCTGTGGCTATTGCCTGCAGCCTTGACTGTGCTGATGCAGGTGGTGCTTGGGAGCATGAGCACGGGGCATGCGTGCCTGAGTGGAGACACCTGGAGTATGGTTTGGGCATGCATAAGTGGGCACACCTGGGCCTGGAGGCTGGGGATTAAGGGCGGTGTCACTCAGAGATGGAGGACGGCTATAGGAGGATGAGCATTGTGATTGCAGAAGAGGCGACTACATGAGAACACCAGAGGTGAGCCCTGAGAAAGATCAAAGAATTGCCAGCCTCCCGGCCTCCAGACCCCGCAGCCTGCCTGCCCTGCGCCTGGTTGCCTGTAGGGTAAATGGAAGTCATCAGGTTTTTCCTGCCCTCCCACCATTAGCATCAATGATTAGCCCCTGTGGTCTTACAAGCCTGCCTGATGGCGGCACTGGGAGTGTGGTATGAGTGTGTGTCAGTGGGCACATCTGAGCTGATAGACTGGGCATACAAGGGTGGCAGCAGAGGACCGGAGGTGGTAGAGGATGGAGCAGCAGAGTGCAGTACAGACCAGCGGTGAGACCAGGAGAGAACCCCGGAGAGCCTGGAAAGAGTAAAGATTGACTGGGGGTCAGGAGCCCTGGCAGCCTCCTGGCCCCCAGGCCTCCCTGGCTGCCCTGCAACTGGTTGCCTCACCACAGATGGTGTAGAAGGGTCATTAAAAGCCTGAAAAAGCCACTGAAGGCTCCAGGACTCCTCCTTTACCCATCTGCCCGGATCATAGAAAACCTGCTGTGCCCCACTATGCTGCCCCACTAGAATACGAACTTTTGTCCAGGCTTGCAATTATTTCTTCCCTCCCCCCTTCCCAGCTCCCCCGTCTTCAGCCTACCCGCACCCATGCCCTCCACATGCAGAGCCACAGCTGAAACCCTTCAGACTGACGTGTTTGTGGCCAAGTAGATGAGGTCCTCCTGCAGCCTCCCTCAAGCTTTTTTTGGGTCTGATACATTGCCAAAGAATCTTCAGAAACTCCCAGGCTCAGGCCTCCTTGGTGGTGCAAGGGGTTAAGTCTCAGCACTATGAAGCTATCGGCAGCCACTGCAGCACGAGTTGGGTACCGGCCAGGGAGGTGACCCACATGGTGCAGCAGATCTCTCCTGTCTCGCCTGCTGCTCCCTTCGGTAGTGTATTTCAGTCAATCCACCTGTTCTTCTCCCCACTCTGTCTCTGGTGAATCTTCTCACCCCTCCACCTGCACCCCAGCTCTTGTATTCATAAATAAATAAAATAAATCTTAAAAAAAAACTCAGACTCACTTGGGGAAAGTTTATCGATGCCCATAGGCCCACACTACCATTGGGACCTCTCCATGTAGTTCTGGGGCCCACCAGGAAGTCTGTGAGCTCTAGAAAAGCCCCTGGGGTGGGGGAAGGAAAGGGTCAAGGTGAGGAAAAAGGGATCCTGCAAATCTGTGTTTGATGAGGGGTGACAGATGCATTGGGACGTATCTAAGGACCCAGGACCAGGGGAACCAAGCAGGAGAGGACAGTTGCCCTGTTTGGTCACAGCTCTACGGTCGCTAACT